CATATTCGATCTTCGTTGATTCAAACGAAAGATATTTCCACACTTCAGAAATTGAAACTTCAGATTTGAAACTCTTATCGATGTCTTGTCGTTAAGGAAGTATAAATATCAATAAATAAACTTGTCAAATCCCCAAGAATTTTAATATTATTCACATTGAATATTAATAAGTTTTAGCCCCAACTTGACTCCTTGAAATATATCTTGATCAAAACGTATGTCTCCATAAATAGTTTTTCACTCTTTTGCAAGTAATAACTATATTGTACTGCTTTATTTGTATATTATACTCTCGCAACATTTATAATGGTCGCACAGAGTATATATGTTCGGCCCGAATATCGCGAAGATGGAAGTTGGCGTTTGTTGCACGACAATGCGCCGTCTCATCGATCGACGCTTGTGGCCGATTATTTGACCAGAAATCACATTTTAACAATCAACCACTCCCCGTATTCCCCTGATTTGGCACCGTGCGTCTTCTACCTTTTCGGAAAAATGCATTTGCCGATGAAAGGAAAGCGTTATGCAGACGTGGAGGCCATTCAAAAGGCTTCCCCGGCATACTGGCGGCCTTACCGGGCAACGAGCTACAAAACTCGTTAGACATGCTTTTGGCCCGTGCAAAAAGCTGTATTAAAGCAGAAGGAGACTATTTTGAATAAAATTATTTGATTTGCCGATAAAACCATTTGTTCTGTCTTTTTTTAAAAGTCCTGTTTACTTTGGAACGCACCTTGTAGTTTTGTTCATCTAACGGTTGTTTGTATTACCTAAAACTAATCGAGATAGGTATAGAGTTATATACGAGGTGTGTTCAAAGGAAAAGGTGAATTTTGATTTTTCGCTGGTTGTGTACATTCGATTATCGATATTTTGTTTTTGTTATAATTGGACAGATATGTTTTTAGCAGATATCTTTTTAGCAACAGAAAATGTTAGTCACGATTTTTGACTTTTGAAAGAAATGGATCAAAGAATATGTATTCAATTTTGCGTTAAAAATTTAGTAAAGTGCTTCAAGGCACTTGAAAAGTTGACTGTGGCATTCGGTGAGTTCACTTTGTTTAAAAAAAGTGTTTATAAGTGGTACAAGCGCTTTACAGAAGGCCGAGAAGATGTTGATGACAATGAGCACCCTGGAGGTGCGACCACGTCAACAAGCGAAAAAATCATCGAAACTGTGAAAGAAATTGTTATTAAAAATCGTCGAATCACCATTAGGGAAGTTGCATAAGATGTTGGCATATCAATCGGTTCATTCTATTAAATTTTCTCGAATGTTTTGGGCATGAAGGATATGGCAGCAAAGTTGGTTCCGAAATAGCTAAATTTTGAACAAAAGCAATGTCACATTGGTATTGGTATCAGGAGGCCAAAAACAAAACCGTTACCATGTCACCCCCGTACTCACCAGATTTGACTCCCTTAAACTTTTTCCTATTCTCAAAACTGAAGAAACCAATGAAAGGAAAGCGTTTTGCCACAATTGATGAGATCAAGTCAAAATCGAAGAAAGAGCTGATGGCCATACCGAAAAGCGCATTTCAGACGTGCTTCGAGGATTGGAAAAAATATTGGCTCAAGTGTGTTGTATCCACGGAGGATTACTTTGAAAGGGACAAACTAGACATTGATCAATAAATAAGTTTTTTTCAAAAAAATTCAAAATTCACTTTTTTCGTTGAACACACCTCGTATACAAGTACATATGGAATGATCAGGGTGACGAGACGCGTTGAAATCCGAGTCCTGTCCTGTCTGTCCGTCCGTGCTAGCGATAACTTGAATAAAAATTGAGATATTTTCATTAAACCTGGTAGACGTATTCCTTAACACCAAAGTGTGCTTGGTATTGCAGATGAACGTAAGCGAACCACTGTCACGGCCACAAACCGACATTAAACGAAAACCTATAAAGTGTCCTGACTAAGCGCTATATTGATATACAAAACTGGTATTTGGTGCAGGGGATCGCAGCGGCGAGGAGTACTTGTGGGCTTAAGATAGTTTAAAAGTGGGCTAGAAACCGCCCTTTAAATGGTTAAATGTATATATTTTTGCAAACCACTGAAGCTATCTCAACCAAACTTGTTGAGAATAAGTTTTTTTGCATTTCTTTATACTCTGTGAAAATGGGCAAGATCACATGATAACCAAGTGCACTGCCCATATAGCGGTTATGTTGAAAAATACTAAGAGCCTTTTTATCGGCAACACGTTGAAAAATGGTTTTCTCAATACCTGGTTAGCAACCAAATGTTTATTAGGTTGTCGCAAACTTTACCGAAAGGAGTCGTGGTTAGTTTTCTAACCAGAACACGAAATTACAGTTGTCAGCTCTAAAATCTATAAGCATAGACGAAGTTCAGACGGGGATTCTTTTGTCGGTCATTATCATTATTTATTAAGCATATTTGCATAACATATGCATATTACATACAAAAGAAGAAAAAACGTTAACTTCGGTTGCGCCGAAGCTATAATACCCTTCACAAAAACAAAGGCCCCTTACAAGAACTTGATTCCGAACGTTCAATTTGTATGGCAGCTATATGATATAGTGATCTGATCTGACCAATTTCTGTGGAGAATAATTTGTTGCCTTAAGCAATAACTCGTGCCTAATTTCGTGAAGATACCTCGTCAAATAAAAAAATGTTCCATGCAAGCACTTTACTCCGATCGTTCAGTTAATATGGCAGCTATATGCTATAGTCATCCGATCCATACAATTTCTTCGGAGATTAGATTAATGCTTTAAATAATAATACATGCCAAATTTCGTGAAGATACCTCGTCAAATGAAAGAGTTTTCCATACAAGCACTTCATTCCGATTGTTCAGTTTGTATGGCAGCTATTTGCTATAGTCATCCGATCTGAATAATTTCTTCGGAGATTACATTGTTGCCTTAACTAATAATCCGTGCCAAATTTCGTGAAGAGACCGCGTCAAATGAAAGAGTTTCCCATACAAACACTTGATTCCGATTGTTCAGTTTGTATGGCAGCTATATGCTATAGTGGTCCGATATCGGCCGTTCCGACAAATGAGCAGCTTCTTGGGGAGAAAAAGAAGTGTTCAAAGTTTCAGATCAATATCTCAAAAACTGAGGGACTAGTTCGCGTATATACAGACGGACAGACGGACGGACGGACAGACAGACGGACATGGCTAAATCAGCTCAGCTCGTCACGGTGATCATTTATATATATACTTTATATGGTCTCCGACGTTTCCTTCTGGGTGTTACAAACTTCGTGGTAAAATTAATATACCCTGTTCAGGGTATAAAAAGGGTATTAACATTTAAATATCCGAACATAAGGTAAATATTCCTGTGAAACCGAGCGTTGTTGCAACCATGAAAGGAATTTCAAAATGAAAAGGAATGGCGAATTACGTAGCAGCTAGCTGTTACGGAAAATAACACAAAGTACGTCACCCAAGCACGAGCGGCACGGTCTCTTTGTTTTTACACGTCATCCCTTCACCTACGGAAACCGGTAGCAAAAAGAGTCTGCGTCTGAACATACACTTACATAGCTCATGACGTTTACACACTGTAAGTTTTGTTGACTGTTTTCGCCACGGATTCACAATAAACGAACTATTTGTAGGTCAGCTAACCACAACTTGGTGAAAACGGTTGTGTCAAATAAAGTTATCATCCAGTTAAGCTACCAGGGGTTAAAGATAATATTAACCAGACGTTGAGAAAATGGTCCTAAAAGTGCAATAACTCACTAATTTAAAGAGTCACAAGCATTAAATTTCACATCCAGGATGACAGGGAAGGGTTTAATGGGAGCTGGTGAAAAATTTGACAATAGGCGTGGCACCGCCCACTTTTAGGTAAAATTCTATATCTCCAATTTAACCAAATTTGGTGTGTGAGGCTAACTTATTATTACTGTTACACGACGCTTACTTCCCATATAAAAAATTTCCAATTACTTTTACAACTTTTCAAGAACCTACTCACCAAATATTTTTACACCAGTGCATATGACTGATTTTTTACCGAACATATCAGTCACTCTAAGAGTTCCTGTATTGAAATTAGGTTAGAATATTTTTGTGCCAAACCTTATGCCAAAAATGGATAAAGTCGGGTCAATACTTCACTTAGCCCCCAAATACGTAATATAAAATTCTTCGAACCCTCGGTTGACTTTATATCGCATCTATCGGTATATATGTAAGAAATCTTAATGAAATTCCCAAAGAATTTCTAATAATAAATAAAATATGATAACTAAAAAGTAAGTATAAATGTTCTGTTACACCCGAACTTAGACCTTCCTTACTTATTTTAAGTTAATTATATATATTGTTAACCTTTAATTATCTGCCAAATCTTAAATTTTACACGTTGGCAACAAGAAAAAAACTTTAACTGATTTAATTTTAATTCGAAATGTAAAAAAACAGTTTCGTTGTTTCAAAGTGCAGATGGTAATAGAGTATTAAATGTACTTAAAGAGCCAAATGAGAGACTCTATACTGCGACTAACGTATTATAAATAAGTATAAAAGGTGTGTATATCTGGAAAATTTTGATATTTACAGTGAAGTTTATAGTAGAAGTTTCACATTTCGGAACCATTTATACGGTCTATAATATAATGATGCTCGTACGGGTTTTTATACCTTGATGAGGGAATATTAAGTTCGTAGGGTACCCCACAGAATGTATACATATATAAATAATCAGAGTGACCAGCTGAGTTGATTTAGACATGCCCGTCTATCTGTACATACACGAACTAGTCCCTGAGTTTTTAAAATATCAATCTGGAATTTCTTACACGTCCTTTTCTCCCCGAGAAGCTGCTCATTTGTCAGAACCCTGATATCAGAACACTATATACGTACATGTATTTGTAAGGAACCTTTTAGAATTTTTTTTTTTTATGAAGGAGTTTCGGTGCAACCGTAGTTAACTATTTAAGAAAAACATGTACAGTAGTATCAATAAAGGTTTTCCCCTTCTGAAGCTATAACATTGTCCCATCTTTCTGACAATTTGTGAATTCCTTCTCAAAAGCAATGCACCGAGAATGAATCAAGGCAATTTTGTATACCTGTTTTGATGTGAACCACATTTCTGCATCTATCGAAACAAATGGTAGTCAGATGTGGCAAGATTTCAGCTGTAAGGCGGGTGAATTATTGCTTAATGTCCTTGTCGGCAATTACTCGCTTCAATTTGATGAGTTGTTGTCGGTAGCGTTCCCCAATAAAGCTTTCAGCCGAAACAAATAGTAGTCAGATGGGGCAAGATTTCAGCCGTAAGGCGGGTGAATTATTGCCTAATGTCCTTGTCGGCAATTACTCGCTTCAATTTGATGAGTTGTTGTCGGTAGCGTTCCCCATTAAAGCTTTCAGCCGATTTTATAAGCCCATAATAACGACAGGACATGGTGGCTGATTTTAAACGCTTTAAAATAGCTGCTTCAGTGACTCCCAAAAATTTTGTGTTCACACTTTATGGATGTCCAGGACGTTCTTCGTCTTCAAAGCCAAAATCATTACTTTTAAATCGTGCAAACCACTTTGGTACGATCGCTCAGCTAGAGCATGTTCACCATAAACCTCCACCAAAAAACGAAGACATTAGGCTGAGGTTTTCTTCGTAATGATGAAAAAGCTCCCCTCAAAGACACAATATAGATCCAAAGTTCGACATATGTGAGTGAAAAAATTTATTGCTTATGCTTCATATGAATGACACATACTGAAAAAGACGCACAAGGGCAGTCGATTTCTAACGTATATTGGAATATTGGAACAATGGAATAATATTGAAGTTACGCCATCTTTTAGCAAACCGCACGAATATTGTTGTATAACCAATAATATATCGTTGTTTAAATTGAAAAAAGTGGGGGAATAATAAAGACCTTTCATTGCGTGAAAATTTATTCCTTCTGACTTTTATTGGGTTTTTCTTTTTCTTTTATACAGTTTTTAAATCTAAATAATTTAATTAAATATATGAATATGTGTGTATATATATACATAATTGTACAACTCAATGCATGTGCGTGTAAATTTTCGTATGTATATTGTGTGCATTTTTACAATCAATATATGATAACATATATAATATTATATATGAATACATCTATTTATGCATGCATGAATAGACGCATGTTCTTAATTGAGGTAAATATGTTTGTATTGAATGCATACGTATTAAATGTGCATATAAATTTATGTTTGTTTTTGTCTATAGTTTTATAGTGTCTCAGCATTATTAATGATAAGCATGTTCAAAAATATTTGATCAATCGTTCAATATACAGTGTATCTAATTCATATATAAATGAAGTAGGTTGTCATTATTAAAGCAAATTAAAGTTGCATGTCAGCTATGTATTTTTTAAATAACTTGCATCTTAAACATAGTTGGAAAATCGATTTCCCGTAAATTCCGTATCATCAACTCAAATCCATCCAAAAAAATTTCGGTTGAAGTGATGCCAAACTTTTTTCTTCTACAAAGGAAACGGAAAGGTTGTGGATAATGTTCCTTCATCTTATTTGGTAAAAAACAAAATGCTTCCTTATTTAAACGAAAACAACCTATGAATCTGCAACAAACATTATTAAAAGTCATTCAATTATCAATAAAACTTTGACTTACTTGTTGTTAGAAAGTTCCAATGAATTTGAATCATCTCATGCTTTTCCATTTGTGCAGTACATCAGTTTTGGCTCCAACTTTTTTTCATCGTAATATAAATCGAAACTAACGTCCATTTAAATGATTATTAACTTATTCATGAGCAATATCGAAATTGAGTTGTTTTGATTAGTTTCCTTTTAAAGATTTTCAGCTCTGTTGTGATCTGTCAAATCTTCACTTTCTATGTTGACGACACCAATAAAACTGCGACTGAAAATAGTTGAAGTTCGTAATACCAAACTGAGTTCGGTTGATTTGAAGTTGAATTGCTTTAACTGAAATTGAAAAATGAATAGGGGTATAAATAAAATACATGAAAGCATTCAGTTAAAATATTGCCAAAATAAAAACCATCAAGTTAAGATACTTGTTTACTATTGTACTATATAACGACTATAAACATACTTTGTATATTATTATGTGTATATGTGTGTTGTATGTATTCATAAAAAACATCCCGTTTGGTGAAATAAATTATTATTTAAGTAGTTATTCTCGAATATTAGTCGTTATACTTCTCTCGCATAAAGAAACATTTTTATACCCTAACAAGTAAGGAAGGCTAAGTTCGGATGTAACCTAGCATTTTATACTCTCGCAAAGCCAAATGGTATACTCGTTTGAGATTTCTTTGTGGGTTGACTGATATTTTCGGTTGAAAGGGACAAACTAGACATTGATCAATAAATAAGTTTTTTTCAAAAAAATTCAAAATTCACTTTTTTCGTTGAACACACCTCGTATACAAGTACATATGGAATGATCAGGGTGACGAGACGCTTGAAATCCGAGTCCTGTCCTGTCTGTCCGTCCGTGCTAGCGATAACTTGAATAAAATTGAGATATTTTCATTAAACCTGGTAGACGTATTCCTTAACACCAAAGTGTGCTTGGTATTGCAGATGAACGTAAGCGAACCACTGTCACGGCACAAACCGACATTAAACGAAACCTATAAAGTGTCCTGACTAAGCGCTTATTGATATACAAAACTGGTATTTGGTGCAGGGATCGCAGCGGCGAGGAGTACTTGTGGCTTAAGATAGTTTAAAAGTGGGCTAGAAACCGCCCTTTAAATGGTTAAATGTATATATTTTGCAAACCACTGAAGCTATCTCAACCAAACTTGTTGAGAATAAGTTTTTGCATTCTTTATACTCTGTGAAAATGGGCAAGATCACATGATAACCAAGTGCACTGCCCATATAGCGGTTATGTTGAAAATACTAAGAGCCTTTTATCGGCAACACGTTGAAAAATGGTTTCTCAATACCTGGTTAGCAACCAAATGTTTATTAGGTTGTCGCAAACTTTACCGAAAGGAGTCGTGGTTAGTTTCTACCAGAACACGAAATTACAGTTGTCAGCTCTAAAATCTATAAGCATAGACGAAGTTCAGACGGGGATTCTTTGGTCATTATCATTATTTATTAAGCATATTTGCATAACATATGCAATTTACATACAAAAGAAGAAAAACGTTAACTTCGGTTGCGCGAAGCTATATACCCTTCACAAAACAAAGGCCCTTACAATAACTTGATTCCGAACGTTCAATTTGTATGGCAGCTATATGATATAGTGATCTGATCTGACCAATTCTGTGGAGAATAATTTGTTGCCTTAAGCAATAACTCGTTCTAATTTCGTGAAGATACCTCGTCAATAAAAAAATGTTCCATGCAAGCACTTTACTCCGATCGTTCAGTTAATATGGCAGCTATATGCTATAGTCATCCGATCCATACATTTCTTCGGAGATTAGATTAATGCTTTAAATAATAATACATGCCAAATTTCTGAAGATACCTCGTCAAATGAAAGAGTTTTCCATACAAGCACTTCATTCCGATTGTTCAGTTTGTATGGCAGCTATATGCTATAGTCATCCGATCTGAATAATTTCTTCGGAGATTACATTGTTGCCTTAACTAATAATCCGTGCCAAATTTCGTGAAGAGACCGCGTCAAATGAAAGAGTTTCCCATACAAACACTTGATTCCGATTGTTCAGTTTGTATGGCAGCTATATGCTATAGTGGTCCGATATCGGCCGTTCCGACAAATGAGCAGCTTCTTGGGAGAAAAGAAGTGTTCAAAGTTTCAGATCGATATCTCAAAACTGAGGGACTAGTTCGCGTATATACAGACGGACAGACGGACGGACGGACAGACAGACGGACATGGCTAAATCAGCTCAGCTCGTCACGGTGATCATTATATATATTACTTTATATGGTCTCGACGTTTCCTTCTGGGTGTTACAAACTTCGTGGTAAAATTAATATACCCTGTTCAGGTATAAAAAGGGTATTAACATTTAAATATCCGAACATAAGGTAAATATTCCTGTGAAACCGAGCGTTGTTGCAACCATGAAAGGAATTTCAAAATGAAAAGGAATGGCGAATTACGTAGCAGCTAGCTGTTACGGAAAATAACACAAAGTGCGTCACCCAAGCACGAGCGGCACGGTCTCTTTGTTTTTACTCGTCATCCCTTCGCCTACGGAAACCGGTAGCAAAAAGAGTCTGCGTCTGAACATACACTTACATAGCTCATGACGTTTACACACTGTAAGTTTTGTTGACTGTTTTCGCCACGGATTCACAATAAACGAACTATTTGTAGGTCAGCTAACCGCAACTTGGTGAAAACGGTTGTGTCAAATAAAGTTATCATCCAGTTAAGCTACCAGGGGTTAAAGATAATATTAACCAGACGTTGAGAAAATGGTCCTAAAAGTGCAATAACTCACTAATTTAAAGAGTCACAAGCATTAAATTTCACATCCAGGATGACAGGGAAGGGTTTAATGGGAGCTGGTGAAAAATTTGACAATAGGCGTGGCACCGCCCACTTTTAGGTAAAATTCTATATCTCCAATTTAACCAAATTTGGTGTGTGAGGCTAACTTATTATTACTGTTACACGACGCTTACTTCCCATATAATAAATTTTCCAATTACTTTTACAACTTTTCAAGAACCTACTCACCAAATATTTTTACACCAGTGCATATGACTGATTTTTTACCGAACATATCAGTCACTCTAAGAGTTCCTGTATTGAAATTAGGTTAGAATATTTTTGTTCCAAACCTTGTGCCAAAAATGGATAAAGTCGGGTCAATACTTCACTTAGCCCCCAAATACGTAATATAAAATTCTTCGAACCCTCGGTTGACTTTATATCGCATCTATCGGTATATATGTAAGAAATCTTAATGAAATTCCCAAAGAATTTCTTTCTAATAATAAATAAAATATGATAACTAAAAAGTAAGTATAAATGTTCTGTTACACCCGAACTTAGACCTTCCTTACTTATTTTAAGTTAATTATATATATTGTTAACCTTTAATTATCTGCCAAATCTTAAATTTTACACGTTGGCAACAAGAAAAAAACTTTAACTGATTTAATTTTAATTCGAAATGTAAAAAAACAGTTTCGTTGTTTCAAAGTGCAGATGGTAATAGAGTATTAAATGTACTTAAAGAGCCAAATGAGAGACTCTATACTGCGACTAACGTATTATAAATAAGTATAAAAGGTGTGTATATCTGGAAAATTTTGATATTTACAGTGAAGTTTATAGTAGAAGTTTCACATTTCGGAACCATTTATACGGTCTATAATATAATGATGCTCGTACGGGTTTTTATACCTTGATGAGGGAATATTAAGTTCGTAGGGTACCCCACAGAATGTATACATATATAAATAATCAGAGTGACCAGCTGAGTTGATTTAGACATGCCCGTCTATCTGTACATACACGAACTAGTCCCTGAGTTTTTAAAATATCAATCTGGAATTTCTTACACGTCCTTTTCTCCCCGAGAAGCTGCTCATTTGTCAGAACCCTGATATCAGAACACTATATACGTACATGTATTTGTAAGGAACCTTTTAGAAATTTTTTTTATGAAGGAGTTTCGGTGCAACCGTAGTTAACTATTTAAGAAAAACATGTACAGTAGTATCAATAAAGGTTTTCCCCTTCTGAAGCTATAACATTGTCCCATCTTTCTGACAATTTGTGAATTCCTTCTCAAAAGCAATGCACCGAGAATGAATCAAGGCAATTTTGTTACCTGTTTTGATGTGAACCACATTTCTGCATCTATCGAAACAAATGGTAGTCAGATGTGGCAAGATTTCAGCTGTAAGGCGGGTGAATTATTGCTTAATGTCCTTGTCGGCAATTACTCGCTTCAATTTGATGAGTTGTTGTCGGTAGCGTTCCCCAATAAAGCTTTCAGCCGAAACAAATAGTAGTCAGATGGGGCAAGATTTCAGCCGTAAGGCGGGTGAATTATTGCCTAATGTCCTTGTCGGCAATTACTCGCTTCAATTTGATGAGTTGTTGTCGGTAGCGTTCCCCATTAAAGCTTTCAGCCGATTTTATAAGCCCATAATAACGACAGGACATGGTGGCTGATTTTAAACGCTTTAAAATAGCTGCTTCAGTGACTCCCAAAAATTTTGTGTTCACACTTTATGGATGTCCAGGACGTTCTTCGTCTTCAAAGCCAAAATCATTACTTTTAAATCGTGCAAACCACTTTGGTACGATCGCTCAGCTAGAGCATGTTCACCATAAACCTCCACCAAAAAACGAAGACATTAGGCTGAGGTTTTCTTCGTAATGATGAAAAAGCTCCCCTCAAAGACACAATATAGATCCAAAGTTCGACATATGTGAGTGAAAAAATTTATTGCTTATGCTTCATATGAATGACACATACTGAAAAAGACGCACAAGGGCAGTCGATTTCTAACGTATATTGGAATATTGGAACAATGGAATAATATTGAAGTTACGCCATCTTTTAGCAAACCGCACGAATATTGTTGTATAACCAATAATATATCGTTGTTTAAATTGAAAAAAGTGGGGGAATAATAAAGACCTTTCATTGCGTGAGAATTTATTCCTTCTGACTTTTATTGGGTTTTTCTTTTTCTTTTATACAGTTTTTAAATCTAAATAATTTAATTAAATATATGAATATGTGTGTATATATATACATAATTGTACAACTCAATGCATGTGCGTGTAAATGTTCGAATGTATATTGTGTGCATTTTTACAATCAATATATGATAACATATATAATATTATATATGAATACATCTATTTATGCATGCATGAATAGACGCATGTTCTTAATTGAGGTAAATATGTTTGTATTGAATGCATACGTATTAAATGTGCATATAAATTTATGTTTGTTTTTGTCTATAGTTTTATAGTGTCTCAGCATTATTAATGATAAGCATGTTCAAAAATATTTGATCAATCGTTCAATATACAGTGTATCTAATTCATATATAAATGAAGTAGGTTGTCATTATTAAAGCAAATTAAAGTTGCATGTCAGCTATGTATTTTTTTAAATAACTTGCATCTTAAACATAGTTGGAAAATCGATTTCCCGTAAATTCCGTATCATCAACTCAAATCCATCCAAAAAAATTTCGGTTGAAGTGATGCCAAACTTTTTTCTTCTACAAAGGAAACGGAAAGGTTGTGGATAATGTTCCTTCATCTTATTTGGTAAAAAACAAAATGCTTCCTTATTTAAACGAAAACAACCTATGAATCTGCAACAAACATTATTAAAAGTCATTCAATTATCAATAAAACTTTGACTTACTTGTTGTTAGAAAGTTCCAATGAATTTGAATCATCTCATGCTTTTCCATTTGTGCAGTACATCAGTTTTGGCTCCAACTTTTTTTCATCGTAATATAAATCGAAACTAACGTCCATTTAAATGATTATTAACTTATTCATGAGCAATATCGAAATTGAGTTGTTTTGATTAGTTTCCTTTTAAAGATTTCCAGCTCTGTTGTGATCTGTCAAATCTTCACTTTCTATGTTGACGACACCAATAAAACTGCGACTGAAAATAGTTGAAGTTCGTAATACCAAACTGAGTTCGGTTGATTTGAAGTTGAATTGCTTTAACTGAAATTGAAAAATGAATAGGGGCATAAATAAAATACATGAAAGCATTCAGTTAAAATATTGCCAAAATAAAAAACCATCAAGTTAAGATACTTGTTTACTATTGTACTATATAACGACTATAAAACAGTACTTTGTATATTATTATGTGTATATGTGTGTTGTATGTATTCAATAAAAAACATCCCGTTTGGTGAAATAAATTATTATTTAAGTAGTTATTCTCGAATATTAGTCGTTATACTTCTCTCCGCATAAAGAAACATTTTTATACCCTAACAAGTAAGGAAGGGCTAAGTTCGGATGTAACCTAGCATTTTATACTCTCGCAAAGCCAAATGGTATACTCGTTTGAGATTTCTTGGTGGGTTGACTGATATTTTCGGTAGAAGGTCAACTATAGGCACTGGGGTCCACATATTTAGTACTTAGGGGCTTGAACAGTTTTGGTTCGATTTAGACACTTTTTGGTCACAAGGTGGCATACTTTAAACGTATTATTCACGCAAAGTTTAACCCAGATATATTCATTGTTGCTTCATATGCATAGTGGAAAGTGAAAGAATCAGATGGAATTGAAAATGGTGTTATATGGGAAATAGACGTGGTTGTAGTCCGATTTCACCCATTTTCGCACTATAACATAGAAATATGAAAAGAACGTTATGAACCAAATTTGGTTGAAATCGGTTAAGCTGATCTCAAGATATAGGTTTTCACCTAAAAGTGGGCGGTACCACGCCCACTGACTAATTTTGAACGCGGTTCCTATAAAGTCATCTCATACCATCCCAGAGATAAAATTTAATGTCTCTGGCTTGTTTAGTGTTTGATTTATCGCGCTTTTAGTAGTTTTTAACAGTACCGTTATATGGGGAGTGGACGGAGTTGCCACCCGATTTCAACTATTTTTACACTGTAGGTAGAGGTTTTAAAAGCATTTGCTTCCAGTGAATTTTGTTATTAAAGCATTAGCGGTTTAGGAGATGTGCACATTCAACCTATTAGGGGCGGGACCACGCCCACTAAATATTTTAACTGCAGATGCCGCGCCCTAATGTGATCCTGTGTATCAAATAACAGTCTTGTATCTTATTGCGGAGCTTAGTTATGGCAATTTATTTGTTTTTGATTAATGGCGTTTTGAGGGCTTGGCAGTGGTCCGATTACGCCCATCTGCAATACCAACCGTCTCACGGTACGAAGAAATGTATCTACCAAGTTTCATAAAGATATCTCAATTTTTACTCAAGTCAGAGCTTGCACGGACGGACGGACAGACAGTCACCCGGATTTCAACTCGTCTCTTCATCCTGATCATTTATATATGTATGTATATATAACCCTATATCTAACTCGATTAGTTTTAGGTGATACAAACAACCGTTAGGTGAACAAAACGATTATACTATGTAGCAACAGGTTTCGAGAGTATAAAAAAGTATCCGGTCCTTTGTATTTCGTTTCGTTTACACTGAATATACATTTTGAATATAATTTCAGGTTGCACGATGATGAGAAAGTGTCATTTAAATACATGCCCAGTAGGCATCGCAACACAAGATCCAGTACTCCGCGAGAAGTTTAACGGAAAGCCTGAACATGTGATTAATTTCTTCTTTATGCTCGCAGAAGATGTAAGTAAATTAGTCTTCACATATACATCTAATATGCTTAAATAATAATTGATTGACTATTATAATTTATTAACAATAATAATTTTTTGTTAGTATCTGAAATTATTTTTTTTCTTTTAAACATTTTAAAATTTAACTCTCCCAACAAACTATATCTTACAATACCCAATGAGTGATTTATTTACTTATAACTTTGGCTTCGATGTGTGCTCTTGTATGAGTACATTTATACAAACGAAGTTTCAATCCGAAGCAAAGAAATGCGAAGAACAAGGTTGGGCAACTCTTATATTTTAATGGTTTGATAAGCAGCTGTCATCATTTTTATGCTATCGCAATCAGTTGCAACAGAACAAGAGTCGGCGTTGCTCGTTCCCATATTTCACAAACTGATAAAAATAAATAAACCAAATTTACTGTGGAAAAGTCTTTCTCGCGCCCGTTCATACAGCATAAGAATAGAGTATGAAATCGGATAATAACCAAATCCAACCCGCCATCTCACTTCTAAAAATTGTTGCAATCGGGCCAAAAAATCGCATGTCCCCAAGCGTATAGCTGACCTTATATCGCAACTATTGGTCAATTTGAGAGATAATTATGAAATCAGGTCAGTATCAGCCCCTAGCACCATCTCCAATATATCCTAATACACTACACAAACTGTTCGCATCGTTAGCAAACTGCTGCCAAACGTACAATAATTGATATATGTAGATTAAACTTCAAAAAACAAAAAAACAGGTTGTATTACTCTAGGAAAAATGTATTGATTCGGTTTGCCCGCGTAGTTTACATCGAGCAGACCGATAAAATGACTTTCGACTTTCTCTTTCTTTAATTACTAAATTTTTACCTTACTTTAAACCGTTTGTGTTAGTCAACATACGTAACATTTTAAGGAAAATAAGTAGACATGTTTTCCTTAAAGGGGTCGATACATTTAGAGGCCAGAAAAAATTCGCCTTTTTAAATTTTTATTTTTAGAATAAAAAACACTGAGTAAAATTCGTTCAAGGAGTATATTTTAAAGCATATTTATAAGTTATGTTTAATGATTGAACCACTCAAAAATGTTGAATATTGGCGGAGGAATCCATGTTTCAGTGGAATGTGTCGCAACTGATGCCGATGATGAATGTCCAAAGTAGCGTCCATAATTCTTATCTGTAACAGTTAATATAAATATGTTGTTAATTTGTATACATTTTTACTCTATGTGAGCATCATAAAGTCAATTAAAACTGAAAATTAATAATTTCTTCTCATTTCTGGACTTTAAAATCGACTTAGAACGTAAAATTTGTGCATATTTTCACTTATAAAATTACAGAAATAAAATAATTATCAGTATCTTTAGTTCACAATAACAGTTTTTAATACTTTACAAAATAAAAGTTGAATCCGATTGACAGGTGAGAAAGTTTTCGCGTACTCGTGAACGCTAATTGTAAAAACATGGTTTTCAGAAAACGCGCTTCAAAGTTTTGATAAGCGTATACATGTTTCACATATACTTAGTCCTGCCATAAGTTCTGTTACAAATTCAAGGCTTTAAGATATGAAACTATAATACATTTTTTATAAAGTTAATTTTATTAAATGAGGGATGAACTAAATTGTATTCCAAAAGCTCACCTTTTGCTTTCACAAAAGGCTTCAAATGGTAAGGCCATCTGTTGGTATTGACAACGCTGCTTGAAACCAATTTTTTTTTCAATTTTTTTTTTGTTGCTATTTTTCAAATTTTAAATATATTTTTTTTAATGAGAGTCGATGTTGTTTGTTCAACGCCAAAACTTAAAGTATTTTATATTCCTCTCTCTGATTGCGTCATGGACAACAAATCGCACACTTGTTGTTCCAAATCCGTCAATGAGCAGTAATTCGAGGGACCACCACCAGTTCCCGACGAGTATTACGACGACTTTTTGCCTTTAGTTGCATTTTACAATCAGCCCAAACCTTAAATAAAAGCCATAAGTATATTTGTAAAAAAATAGTGTTAAGTATTTACTTTCCAACCGGTAACTTCTATTTCCCTTTGCTAGGGAATACTTAAAAATATATTTTATCCACCAACGCGCGGAGAAATAAGAACACGTGTGGTTCTTTTGATAGTCGGAATTCTCCTTTAACTTCAACTTACTATTTTTTTTTATACATTTTGTTCTTAAAGCTTGTAGTTACGGTCGACTTTCAGAAACTTTAAATGCGATTTCTCAAAACTGCTTTTTTGAAGTCGGTAGTCAAATTTTCTCGATAACTTATGAACCGATCGACTTGAAATTTTGCATACATCTTTAAACATGTTTGAGTACTGCTTGAACGAAGGATTTTTTTTATCATTTACAATTCAGTTGAGATAATACATGACCAAATTTAGTGCAAAAGTTCATATGATTTGCGAAAAACTCAAAAAAAAATTAATTTTAAAATTTTCTAAAATACAATTTTATTTACTGTGTCCGCCTTTTCATAAATGTGTGTGACTTCTCTTAAAATCTACCAATATTTCGTATTGCTTCTTGTTTGTTTGCTTGCTTTGTTTATTATCCCTATAATTATTAATTAAATTAAAGTATTTTACCATTTTCGCGAATACAAACAATTTTTTCATTCGAATCGCATTACAGAGTAGCTCCTCTAAACTTCCCGACAGTCCACCATCTGCATCTATGAAACCATTAATACGAGTATTGCTTTTAAGTCACTGCTGCGTGGTTTTTACTGGAAGATCCAATGCTCTCCATCGAAGGGACTATTGCGTAACTGCCTGTAAAGTGAAGACCACCTTTACATGAGACTCCACACCAAACCATGACAGCAGCTGAATGGAGACCACGTTAAATTTTGTCGTTTTGCTTATTAAACGCTTCTTCAACAGTGAAATTTCTTTCATCTGTAAAAATGATATTTATGTGGCCGTGGACGCGTGCCACTGAAGAAGCACCTTGTAGCTGTTGAGCCTAATTTGCATCAAGTGCGTTGTCAGAAGACGACCAGTTGGCCAACGGTAGGGTTTCTGTGGAGATCATCTCGAATATGTCTTGACATTGATCTGGTCCATATATTCATTTCCCTTGACATAATTTTCTGTTTGCTAAGAGATTTCAAATGCGTTCGCGAACAGTTTTTATGACTGAATTGGTTTGAACCAGGCGAATGTGACAACTTTTCTTTCTGTCACCAACGTTTAATAGTGCGGTCAACAAACATTCATGAAATATTAAGTTTTTGAGAAGCTCTTGAATTTAACTTGGGCTCCCCACTCCATTGGTAATAAACGAAAGCAAGCATTGGATTATTATTATTTGGTATATGAGTAGACACTGCATAAAAATTATAATAAATTAGTAATGAAGTGAAGAATTTGAGCTTATTGCAAAAATCATTTTTTATAATTTATAATCGACTAAAAAAGGAATTTTGCAAACCTAAAACTTGTATTTTTTCGATGATCCGACTTTGATTCCTTTGTAGAATTATTACAGACTCTAACCGAAAAATTAAACAAAAAGTGGAAAACGTGGATGATGTCCATATCAATAATTAGCAATAAGCTAAAGTCCGAAATTCGAAGGCAATAAATTGATTTTGGATGTTATCGAAAAACAAAGGAATTACTTTCTTCTTTATGACTCAACCTCTCGAAAAAAATTGGTTTAGTCTAATGCGCGGCCGAATGTTGTACAATGTAAATACCATAAAAACCTAACACAAATTTCTCATTTTAGATTCGTAAGATCATGGCTAATTTGGGAATTCGTCGATTTCAAGAATTAATTGGACGTACTGATTTACTTCAAGTAATCAAAAAAACAAATAATAAACCTGATTACCTAGATCTATCGCTGCTATTAAAAAACGCTTTAGAATTACGGCCCGGCACAAACATAGTAGGAG